AGCCACCGTAACAGCGCAGCACTGCTCAGGTGACTGCGGTGAAGCCAACTTCAAAACACCTGCTGTGAGGGCCGGGGATTTAGCTCAGTGGTTCCGGCACCTGCCTCGCAAGCCCAAGGTCCAATCCCCGGTTCAAGTTCAATCCCCGGTACCAAAAAAAAACAAAAAACACCTGCTGTGTTTTCAGGTGTAGAAAAGTCCAGCGCATACAGTTCTGTGCTAAAAGTTGCACTGTGTACAGTGATGTACACATTACTTGACGAAAATAAATGATTACGTACTGGTGCGTGTATTTATTATACTATATTTTTATTTGAGAGTGTATTCCTTCTACTTAAAAAAGTTTACTATGAAGTTTGCCATAAGACGCGAGCTGTAGCCTCATGTATCTCGCGCGACCATCTCTCCTGCTCACGTCGAAGGCCATGTGGGGTGACACCTTCTGCCACACAGACAGGCGTGAATACATCTGTGAGCTCCCCAAATGACACATTCTCCCAAAGGTGAATTTTTCAAAGCCTCTCCCTATCATTAAGTGACTTGCAACCATAGATAATATTGCTAACACTCTAGTAATTCCTCATTCCCTTTCTTTTTTTTGGTACCGGAAATTGAATTCAGCACCTTGTGCTTGCCAGGCAGGTGCAGCACCACTGAGCTACATCCCCAGGCCTTCATTCCTTTTTCTAGTTATTGTTTGCCTTCTTTTCAAGTTACCATCCTGTCTTTGTCATAGGTTGGTTTTTAGCCTTTTAAAATATAAACGTTTCAATTAAAGTATAACAAATCTACAAATGAATGTAAATCACAAGCTTACAACCAAAATTATATTCATTTCTGCAGTGGATTTTCATAAAGTGAACAGCATACAGAAGCAGCACTCAGGTTTATAGAACTCAGCATGTCAGGTGTGGTGGCGCTCGCCCGTAATCCCAGACGCTGGGAGGCTGAGGCAGGAGGATCCTAAGTGTGAGGCCAGCCAGGGATACACAGTGGTCCTAGGACAGCGTGAACTACAGATTGAGACCCTGTGTCAAAAACAAACAAAAAACAATACATTGGGTGGACACCTATAATCCCAGCATGCGGGAGGGCCACAAACTCAACCCCAGCCTGGGCAACGTGGTGCCTTACTGAGGCCCTATCTCAAAATGTAATACATACAGGGCCAGGGATTTAGCTCAGTGGTTCCGGCACCTGCCTCGCAAGCCCAAGGTCCTGAGTTCGATCCCTGGTACCCCCCCCCCAAAAAAGTAATAAATACATAAAAGGGCCAGGGAAGTTGGCACCAGGTTCAATTCTCAGTACTGCAAAAAAACAAAAGAAAACCATTACAATAACAAAAAACCACACAAAAACTCCCCAAAGTGGAACATTACTGGTACCATAAAAGCCCCTTCTTGTCCCCTTCCCTTTCTTCATTTCTCCAAGGGCAACTATTACCCTGATTTCTAAATAAATCAGTATCTCATAAATTAGTTTTATCTGTTTTTGTTTTGTACTGGGGATTGAACTCGGGACCTTGCGCTTGCGAAGCAGTTTTATGTTTTTAGTTTTACCTGCTTTTGAACATCCATTCTCATTACTGTACAGTAAGTACCTCGTGGTATGACTATGCCACAATTCATTCATTCCACTGTTTTGGTTGTGTGAATTATTTCCGACTGGGCTGACAAATAGTGATCTTCGCTCATGTCTTATAGTGGACATAGTTCCACACCTCAAAGTGCAAGTCCTCGGTCACAGGACAAACATGTCCAGCTTTGGCACATAACACTGTATTTCCAAACTTACACCAACTTGCATTCTTATCAGGAGAATATAAAGTTCCAGTTTCTCCACGTCTCTGCCAACCCTTGGGCTTATCTGTGAGGTGTATTTTAGTCATCTTTGTGGGAATGCGGCGATACTGCAATGCAGTTTGATTTTGCATTGCTATGACTGATACGGCTGAACATCTTCTCACAGGTCTATTGTACAGTGTGTAACAATCGGATCAAGATAGTTGGCTGTCTATCACTCCGTTTATCATTGCTTGTGCTCCTTTCTACTAGCTATTTTTTTAACTATACAATCAATTTTTGCCAATTACAGCTATCCTACCGTGTGCCACAGAACATCAGAAGTTACCACCTCATCTAACCGCACCTATGAACCATCTTTTTTCTTTCCCTTTCCCCTTCCACCATTTCCAGCCTCTACTAACTACTATTCTCCTTCCCACATCTGTGAGATCATCTTATGTAGCTCTCATGTGTAAGTGAGGACGTGCGGTGTCTTTGTCTTAGTCACTTAGGTGCGGTTTCTGACAACACAGGTGAAAGGAGAGGTTAATCTTGGCTCACGGGTACAGCCCATGGTACAGTGACATGTCCCCGGACAGGAGGGCACAGTGCAAAGGCCTGGGGTGCAGAAAGCTGCTCACCTCCCGGCCACCATGAAGCGGAGAAAGGGGATTGTGCACCTGTGACCGGCTCCTCCAGCCAGCCCCTTCTCTGAACAGCGTCTGCTGTGAACCCAAAGGAGGACCAACTCACTCCTGAGTGTAAAAATCGCTCCCCCTGAGCACACAAGGCTTTGGGCCACATTCCAGATCCAAACCAAGATGTGCAATGTTTGTTTTTCTGTGCCTCATTTATTTCACTAAATCTTAGAAGTGGTCCATCAACAGATGAGTAGATAAAGAAAATGTGCTATTTATGGAGCACAATGGACTACTACTCTGTCATAAAGAATGAACTGGAGTCATTCGTAGGAAAATGGATGCACTTTGACACCATAATGTTCAGTAAGATAAATCAGACCCACAAGCTTAAACACAAGATGGTTTCTCTTTTATAAGAGACCCAAAATACAAATAGTGAGGAAAATAAAGAATAGATAATAGAAAGTAGAGAGATGGATCTTTTTCAAGTGGGAAAGGAATCAAGAATGGAGGGAGAATAGAGAGATGGGTGGGGAAGGGGATGAAAAGTGAATTAAGATGTGTTATGTGCATGTCCCAACACCCCATGAGGACTGTAACCATTATGTACTGCAAGTGCACATGAATAAAAAATGAAAATTGGGAAGAAAAAGAAAGAAAAATGATGTCTTCCTAGGTTCATCCAACTTGATGCAAAATGTCAGCATTTCATTCCTCTTACGACTGAATAATATTCACTGTAGTTCTAGTCCATATTTTCTTTATTTGTTCACCTGTCAGGGATATCAGGTTGACCGTGCAGACTGGCCATGGTGAACAGTGCTGCAGTAAAAGGTGACGGCCAGGTCCTTCGGACACACAGCCAGCAGGGGGATTGCTGCATCCTTACGGTAGCTCAGTTTCTGGTCTGAGGAACCTCCATACTCTTTTCCACCATTGGCTGTACTGATTTACATTCTCACCAACACTGGGCACGGGTTCCCTCTCTCCACATCCTCGCCAGCATTTCTTACTGTCTTTTTTTTTTTTGGTACTGGGATCGAACTCGGGACCTTGCGCTTGCGAGGCAGGCAGCAGAACCACTGAGCTAAATCCCCAGCTCTCATCCATTTTTTTTAATCAGGTTTTTTAGGTACCTTTTTGGTTTTCTGTACCAGGGATCAAACTCAGGACCTTGCACTTGCAAGTTAGGAGTGTTGCCACTGAGCTGCATCCTCAGCCCTTCAATCATATTTGTTGTGCTGTTATTTGGGTTCCATATATATCTGGGTAATTAATCCCTTGTTGGAATAATCATTTACAAGTATTTTCTCCAATTCTTTTTTTCCAATTCTATAAACTGTCTTTTCACTCTACTGATGGTTTCCTTTGCCGTACAGAAGCTTTTTACTTTGGTGCAATCCCACTTGTCTATATTCGCTTTTTGTTGCCTGTTTTGGGGGTAATATCTAAATAGCATAGCATGTGGCACTGCACATTAAGAGGAACTAAGCCTGCAGGCTTGAGTAGGGCAGGAAGCGGAACTGAGTTCTCTGCCTAAAGCTGACACCCTTCAAAGGACTGGGTCATGAAATGGGGCTGAAAAACTCCACCAGAAGTCCAAGGAGAGGGCACGGTTCCAGGGACTCTGGGTAGAAGGAAAATCACCAATGAAAGGTGAAAACCACCACCCCTTGGGGAGCCCGGCAAAGGCATGCAACAGTCTTGAGGGACACTCTCACCATGCACACCGCCAAGAGGAATCTGCTCGTGCAGTTACAGAGGCCAAGGAGGCCCACTGCCATCTGCAAGCTGGAGAATCGAGAAAGCTGGACGTGCACCTTAGTCTCAATCCAAAGGCCTGAGAACAAGGGCTGAGGTCCAGGGCAAGCCTGACAGCCCGAGAACCCAGAGCAGCAGCATTGGCATACAGAGGTATAAGCTCAAGCAGAGGGTGAGTTTACTCTTCTCCTTTTTACTCTAGACTACCCTTCAGGAGACTGGATGATACCCATCCACAATGGTGAGGGCGATACTCTTTACTCAGTCTACCCAGGGAAATGCTCATCTCTTGCAGAAACACCCTCAAAAACACACCCAGAAATCACACCAGCTATGTGGGCAGCCCTTAACCCATTCAAGTTTATCATAAACAGGCAAAAGTCAAATCACAGTGAAAGTACCTTTTTTTTTTAATGCTAGGAATTAAACCAGGGCCTGGTACATACCAGGCAAGGGCTCTACCACTGAGTTACATTCCCAGCACACATTAAAGACCGATTGAGTATGTACATCCTGTGACCCAGCAGCTCAGCTTTTTGGTGTATATCCAGATAAACTTTTACCTGGGTCTTATTATTTCAGTACTGGGGACTGAATGCAAGACCTTAACACTGGGCTACAGCCTCACCCTGTCTTTTTCATGTTGACATAGGATCTCACTAAATCACTCTTGAATTTGAAATTCTCCTACCTCAGCCACCCAGAGTGCTGGGGGATTATAGGCGGGTGCCACCATGCCTGGCTCAGTCACGGATTTTTTGCAAACTGGCTTGCAATATGGAAAAAAAATAACAATATAATTCAACAATAGAGACATGGATAAACAAATTGATTTATTCTTACAATGGAATAAAATGTAAAAGACTTAGTTATTCATGCAACAATACAGATAAATCTCCAAAATCTAATGTGAAGTGCAGAATAATACATAGGGCATACCACTGCTCATTTAATTTTAAAACCACAAAGTACTATGTACTACTTTCTGAAAATATAAACATGTGATAAAAGTAAAAAACAAGAATGTGAATGAAATGCACATATTATAAAACAGTGATTATCCCTGTAGAGGAGAAAAGGAGGGCTGGACTTTAGCTTTGTAAGTTTTTGACCAGGGCTGGGGGTTCAGCTCAGGCGAACGCTTGCCTAGCCTGTAAGAGGTCCTGGGTTTGGTCCCCAGCACCACCAGAAAGAAAAAAAATGATGACCTTCTAGAAAGATCTTTAAACAAATATGGTAAACGTGCATGTGTCATATGTGGGAATTAATATTTGATTATTAATTTTAAATTTAAAATCAATAGTAGCTTAGAATCTTTTTTTTTTTGGTACTAGGAATCAAAAGTAGCTTAGAAATTATCATTTAAAATTATATGTTGGTGGGTGGGGCCAGTGATTTAGCTCAGTGGTTCTGGCTCCTGCCTCAAAAGCGAAAGGTCCTGAGTTTGATCCCCCGTACCGAAAAAAAAAAATTATATATTGGTTCGGGTTCCCAGTGATGAATGTAACTATATTGTATCCCTAAAATGTACCAATAAGCTTAATAAAATTGTATGTTGACGTACATACTTACCTATCTATTTACTTTTTGTGGTGCCGACACCAAACCTAGCACCTCACCCAATACCTAAATACGGAGCAAACAAGAAACCCTCAATTTACACGCCCTTCCTCAGACCTCGTCTCCATCCCTGACTGACTGCTAACATTTGGCACGTGCCATGTCCATGCATTTGTGCATACACATTCATGTGTGTATACAAACAGGTTTGTACCTGTGGACTCATAATGAGCGTGTACTGACTTGCTTCTTTCACTTGAAAGCATGTATTAAAAAAAAAAAAATTGGGCCGCGTATGTAGTTCAGTGGTGCCACTGCCTGCCTCGCAAGCACTAGGTCCCGATTTAGATCCCCAGTACCAGGAAAAAAAAAATCACTTTTCAACTCCTGTATAATACCCAAACTGTGGATGAACCACATTTTAATGATTCCCTTAAGTTTAAAAAGGTAAGCTGTATTTACTTATTTATTTGGGTGGACAGAGTCTCACTGTGTAGCCCAGGCTGGCCCGAAATGTGCAGCGATCCTCTTGCCTCAGCTTCCTGAGTGCTAGGATTACAGGTGCGCACCACACCCAGCTGTTTTCCATCTCCTACAATTACAATGTTACAGAAACTTCTGTACATATATCTCAGCACACATCAGTAGTATACTTCTGAGCTACTGAGAAATGCACTGAATATGTATATTTTGTTTTGATAATGTCAACTTTCCTTTAAAAAGTGGTTCTGTAATTTATATTTCTTTAAAAACTGATATTTCAGCTGGGGATTTAGCACAGTGGTGTAATGCCTGCCTCGTAAGCATAAGGTCCTCAGATCGACCTCCAGGACCAAAAATAAATAAATAAACAAACGAAAATTGACATTTCTGCACACCTTTCAATCTTTACAAATAAATGAATTCAAGTTCCTTGAATTTGTGACAATTGGAACAAGTGTTTCATTTTAATTTACATTTCTCTCATTTTTTTTTTTTCCCCTGGTACTGGGGATCAAACTCAGGACCTTGCGTTTGCAAGGCAGGGGCTGCACCACTGAGCTAAATCCCTGGCCCCTCTGATTACTAGAGAGGCTTGGTACCTCTTCTGTGAATTTATTTGTATCATTTGTTCACTTTTTCCACTGAGTTGTTTTGTTATTTGACCCATAGAAGCACCTTGTATCTTAACTTTTCGGGGGCGGGTCCAGGAATCGAACTCAGGACCTTGTGCTTTCGAGGCAGGCGGCGGAACCACTGAGCTAAATCCCCAGCCTGATCTTAACTATTTTAATAATTATATTGGAGGCAAATAATTTTCTCTACACTTCAATGTAGTGGTTTATCACAGAATACAGAAATTTTTTATTTTTATGTAGGAATATCTGTTAATCACTGAGATTCAATAGATTAGATTAATTTTTGTGCTTGTTTTGTTTTTTGAGACAGAGTCTCACTTTGTAGTTCAGGCTGGCCTTGAACTCTTGATGATCCTCCTGCCTCAGCCTCCCAAGTGCTGGGATTACAGGCGTGCATCACCACACTCAGCTTTAATAAATTATTTTTTCTTCTAGTAATGGGGACTGAATTCAGGGCCATGTGTGTACTTGGCAAGCTGTCTACCACTGAGCTACCTCCCTAGCCCTTTTCTTTTCTCTTTTTTTTTTTTTGGTACCGGGGACTGAACTCCGGACCTTGCACTTGTGAGGCAGGCAGTGGAACCAGAGTTAAATCCAAAGCCCTGCCCTTTTCGTTTTGTTTTCGCATTATTTTGATACAGGATCTCACTAAGTTTCCCAGGCTTGTCTCAACTTTTGATCCCCCTGTCTGAAACATGCCAGTAGCTGGGATTACAGGTATGCGGCAGAATTTGTTGGCCTATGGCTTTGTGTTCAATTATTTGCCTTAAAAGTAAAATCATTGCCTTGTCAGTGAATACAGAAATTCTACCTACTCTTACAAACAGTACTGATGTTGAGAGATGCAACTGTAGGCAAAGTAAGAACCCATGTAAAATGTGACTCAAATCTTAATCTGAACTTTCTGAATTAGATGTTAGGCAAACTATAGTATCTGCCATTTTCTTCCTGAGTTCAGATGCTCAGTGGAGATTTCCCTACATATGCTTGCTGAATCTGATTTGTCTGTTACATACATTTTTTTCTTTCTTTTTTTTTTTTAATCACACACATTTCTAACATGTCCTAAAAGAGTATTTTACAAAGCCCTGCTGGGCATCGGAGCTAAGAGTTGTTAAGAACTCATCTACTTGACTTTCGCTAGAAAAGTAGTCAAATGGAATATGTGATTTGGGTAACATCTGTGATAACATGAACAGCTGGGGGTTTTTTGGGGTTTTTTTGGTACTGGGGATCGTACTCGGGTCCTTCGGCTTGCGAGGCAGGCGGCGGAACCACTGAGCTAAATCCCCGGCCCGAACAGCTGTTTTTTCAAACTAAATGATTTCAATGTTGACATTGAACAAGAGAAATTAGATACCTAGATAGCTGTCATTCTCAAAGGTTTTACAAGTGGTTTACGAAATAAACCCTATACAGGTGCAGTAGTTTATTCTCTAGAATACTGACTCCAACCTTCACTTTGCAAAAGGTCAAAAATGCAAAACTTACTTTGCTAGTTAAATTTTTTTTGGGGGGGGGGTACCGGGGATCGAACTCAGGTCCTTGCGCTTAGCAAGGCAGGCGGCAGAACCACTGAACCACTGAGCTAAATCCTCAGCCCTAGTTAGTTAAATTATTAAGTAACGGGGCCGGGGATTTAGCTCAGTGGGGCCACTGCCTGCCCCGCAAGTTCAAGGTCCCAAGTTTGATCACTGGTTCCCCCCAAAAAACATTATTAAGTAACTAATTAAAAGTCATTTGAAATATGCATATATGCTATGTGAGAGGGTGCCACATTTTCCAAAATTTTGTGACAGTCAAGCCTACTGTTGATAGGCTAATGTACTTCACAGGAACTTACTACATAATGTTAAGGCAGGAAAATACAATATGGTGTCTATCTACCTCTAGTTGCATATTTTATAGAAAATCTCTAAACCATAAGCTTTAATAAAATGAACATGTGGTGCCGGGCATGGTGGTATATACCCGTAATTCCAGCCCTCGGGAGACTGAGGCGGAAGTACCACAGGTTCAAAGCCAGAGGGGGCTACTTAGTGAGTTTGAAGCCAGTCTCAACCACATAGTGAGACCTTGTTTCAAAAAAATAAAAATGACAACAAAAAGAACATGTGAGGAGCCAGGTATGGTGGTACGTACATATCTGAATTCTAGCTTTCAGGAGGCCGAGGCAGAAGGACCATGAGGTTGAGGTCAGACTCTATTTAGTGAGTTTCAGGTCACCCTGGACGACACAGCATGAGCCTGTCTCAAAAAAATAAAAAAACCTAAACATGTAAATTATTAATCTCTATTTAAATTAACATGAGTTAAGAATGGAACCAAGGAATCCAGGTTAAACAAAAGCCTTGCTGGAAGCGGAGGGTCACACCTCTCACCTGATCCCAGCACTCGGGGAGGCTCACAACGACAAAGCCAGCGAGAGCAACTGAGCAACTGAGCAACTGAGTGCGGCCCAGGCTATAAGGAGCTGGAGAGTGCACCTCAGTTGAAGGCCCTGGTTCAATCACCAGTACCACAGAGGGCGGAAAAAGAAAAACCTGATTTCTAAAAATGTTCAATGATACTAAAACACAGAATGTACACTAACTTTAAATTCTGTCAGGCATCTTTCTTCATGATACTTACTGGAGTAAGGTCAGCATTATTTATATTTATGCAGCGGTTATCCTGTGATGACTGTTAGCATTTTCTCTTGTAAGTGCAAATTTCAAACCTGAAACAACTTTCTTTTTTCTGTAGGTATAATTTCTATATACAGAGGTATGTAGTGAATCTTTGGACATGTATAATACATTTCACAGAAGACAAACTGATCTCCTCAAAAGTGATTAGGAGACATGCAGGGTGGCCTCTACTAGACCTAAATTATTTTGATCATATTTGGATCTTCTAAAATGAAATTATTTTCAGATATGATGTTTTATATCCAGTATGGATACATCAAAGTGCTTTGCCAACAAACAAACTTTACAAAGCTTGCACTGAAAACCTTGCAAAATTAAAAAAACATTGTATCATCATCAAATGAGAGAAAATTCCTAAGTAAATGGGATAGAACACACTATTCACTGAGAAATCAAGAGTGGTAAACATACACAGATAAAAGAGAAACAAGAATATCAAATACATGGGCTAGGGATTTAGCTCAGTGATTCCACTGCCTGCCTTGTAAGGGGAAGGTCCCAAGTCCGATCCCTGGTACAAAAACAAAAAAAAACACTATCAAATACAATTTTATATCTCCTAGCATTAGATGATCCAATGCCAAGCCCTTCTATAACACTGCCAATCTCATTGGAGAAGAGACATGGAGAAGCCATCTAAGTTTTACTGACTAAAGTGAGGAGAACGAAGGCATCTCTTACATTTTCACAATAATGTCTCACTGGCCTAAACCCAGCTACTTCTACTAAGTCCATTATAATTTGATCCAGGGCCACTACTTCCTAAAAAGTTAGGATTTCTTTATTCCATAGTGACCCTGGGTGGTTTTGATATTGTATTGATCTTCAGATCATCTTTATAAGAACACAGAGACATGCTGTATCTCAAAAAAGAAACTGTGTAATGATTAGCTAGCTACAGGAATAATTCCTGTGTTTTGGGAAACAACAGATGTTCTGTGGAGAGCTGGCATATGCTATGATTTTTTAACCGATTTAATATTTTTGGGACTAAACAACAGTTCGATCTAATAACTGCCTTACCCATGGGAGGAAAACTCACCAACTTGTCAAAATATCACATTTCCAAACAGCTACAGTAAGGATAAAACACGTATCAAGGTCACAGAGAAATAAACATGATATACCTCCCTCTCTAAAGTTTGATTTTCAATGAAAACAAATTGTTTTACCTAATGTTATTTAAAAATGCTTTACTGTGTTCTGCAGTTCATAGCAATGTCCTTTTAATGTGAAATTGAATTATGAAGCTATTATTTAAGTCATTCATTTCCAATATGCCAGTTTAGAGAAAAGCATCTGCATTTTTAGGACTTTTTTGCAAGAGTTACGTTTTTAAAATTAAAAAGTGCAAAGACTTGTTTTATCCTAGGAAATTCATTGCTTCTGAGTTGGTACATCACAATATGGCACATTTTCTATAAGAAGATCTTTCCTAGGGACCAATTCTAAAAGAAAAAAGAGATTAAAATTAGAATTAGTTATATAATCACTGAATTAGAATTAAATGCAAATGTGCTTTTCCCCCTAAAATTTACACCATTAAAATTTCTTAAGCTAAACATTCCAGTGATATTTTATTTCAATTTACATCTAAGGTGGAATCTTTAATTCCAAATGGGAACATTTACTAGGATTCTCATCTCAGATTATATAAATATATACAGGACCAACTTATTCCTCTATTATTTATTTATTAAATATAACTAATTCAATCACTGATCAAAATTCAGCTAAAACACATTATTGACCATATGAGCTTCCAAATTTAAAAAATAATGGTGCTTTTCTTTTTTGTGGTGCTGGGATGGAACTCAGGGCCTCATAGACACCAGCCATAATTCCACCAGGGAGCAAAACCCCCACCCTGCAACAACAGCTCTTAACTGAGAGAGCTCTGAGTGGTCACATCAACTGGAGAATAATACTGGGACTCAGCGGTCAGGAGCCAGGGCCCTAAATCTGGATTATGCAGGAGAGGGCAGCACAGACAACAATCGTGTCCAACACACCAACGGTGCCCGACTGAGAAACACTGCTAAACTACGAACCATTGAGCTGAACAGCAGGGATCTCCGTGCAATCAAAATAAAGCTCTCAAGGTGAAAAGTTTTGAGGAGATACATGATTTTTCCTTCTCTTCTCCAGAAAAGATAAAACTTGCCTATACTAGGAGTGTGGCACATGCCTGTAATCCTAGCACTCAGGAGGCTGAGCCAGAAGGATCGCCATGAGTTCTAGGCCAGTGTGGGCTACACAGTGTGTTCAAGGCAGCCTGAACTACATAGCAAGACCCTGTCTCACAAGGAAGCAACCCAGGAATTTAGTTCAGTGATTTCACTGCCTGCCTTGCAAGCACAAGGTCCCGAGTTTGAAACCCAGTACCAAAAAAAATCCAAAACAAACATATAAATGACACAAAATGTCATGGAAGTAACACACAGGAGACAGTTGCTTACAAATGCCAAAGGTACACCACAATGACAACAAAAAATAACTTGCCTACATTCTTCAAAGCATCATCCTCAGGAAAATGAAGAAAAAAACTAAGGATGTGCACCAGATAAAGACTAAGAGGCTATAAGAGACACGATGACTAAACGCAATGTGTGACCCTCACTAAGATCCTGACCACTGGGAACACTGTTTCTCTTCTGTAAAAATTATCTCATCATTGCCGCATGTGCTGGTGCATGCCTGTAATCCCAATACTCTGGGAGGATGAGGCAGGAGGATTGCAAGTTTAAGCTTAGCCCAGACAATTTATCGAGACCCTGTCTCAAAATAAAATAAAATGGGAATACAGTTCAGTGTGAAGACCCTAGGTTCATTCCCTACTACTGAATGGGGAGAAAAGGGCACTGTTAGGACAAATAAATGGTAATACTGCATCGAGGTAATATCCCGTTTTTGACAATTATACTGTGGTTACATTAGAGAGTGTCCACGTATATTTAGGATATACCCATTAAAATATTTAAAGAATTACACCCGACAGTGCTCTTCAGGAGGGCTAACCCCAAGTGGGCTGCCACCACCCACCTGCGTCTGGCATGAGGCGTCTTGGGGGCACTGACCTTATCTCATGTGAGAACTCAGAAGCCTCTTGCTCATATTTTAGTTTCAGTGGGCAGGAGTAGTTGGCATTTTCAACTCTGCAAGGCTTTAAACTACGGGATTCTCTACTAATCAGACGTCAGGCTAAAGACAGAACAGTAAAGTTTGCTCCATCTCTGCTTTGCAGATGACCAGCTTATTCTGCTCTCAGCCTCTTCTTCAGCACCTGTTAAAAGCAGGAAGAACCTGCCAGCATACCCTGGAATTCTGGCTGTTTCCTTACTGCCGGAGCCCCAGGCAGGACTAGGTCTGTGTCCTAAGACCTTATGTTTTGCCATTATAGAGACCACCACCTTGAAGCCTGTGACGGTCAGGTCCCTGATAGTCACACTCCCTGGACCCTTAACTTCCATTCAGCTAATTTCACATCTTAGGTCGTTTAATCTTCCATACCTCACTCTTAACAACTTATACTGGTTTAGTTACAAGTAACAGAAGTGACTCTGGCTGATTAAGTAGAAAAGCCATTGAGTAACAAGCTATCGGTCTAATTTAATGGAATTACCGTGACAGCTAAAGAACTTGGCAGGCTCGCCGGGAGTGGTGGCGCATGCCTGAAATCCCAGCACTTGGGAGGCTGAGACAGGAGGATCACTGCAAGTTTGAGGCCAGCCTGGGCTACACAGTGAGTTCAAGGACAGCATGGGCTACATAGGGAGACCCTGCCTAAAAAAAAAAAAAGAAAGAAAGAACTTGGCAGGCTTAAGACTAAAAAAGAACTAAAAAAAAGAACTTGGCAGGCTTGAGGCTTGAGACTGGGAACAGTGACCAAAGCCATTCCCCACAAGTGGCCCAACAATCAAAACAGCTGCTCCTGAGGAAGCACTGGGAGAACCTGGCTCTGGAAGCCCTGATGCTACACTTCGGATGCTGCCAGAAACAGTTCCGTCTTCCCAGCCACTCCAGGACCCTGGTCCTGCTGATGCCACTCCTGCCAGCAGTCAACTTCATACAAGCCTCTTCCCTCAAGTTCATTTCTTAGTAGAGTGAGTGCCCTGCCCTGTACCAAACACGTGTGCCTGAGCTGTGAAGGAAACCGAAGACCTGAATTTCCTTTACTCTATGGCAGGGGTTTAGAAGTCAGGCAAATGAAAACTCCTAAAACAAAGTAAAGACTTTCAAAGTTGATAAATAACCAGAAAGCCTGCAAACACCCACCACCCTATCCTTCATATAAATGACCTGACTGGAGCCAAAGTATACCTTACAATTTAATTTTTTGGTATTCATTAACACTTTCATTAGGCCAAATGTAGCCCAGGTATATTTACATACTGTATGTTATTTTCCACTGCAGTTTTCATTTTATTGATGATAAAATCCCTGACTTTGCTCTCTACATGAGATACCAAGTACTACAACATTAGTTATTGAACCTGCCAAATCTTTAAGGAACTATAATGAGTACAGTTTATCACCTGTACTTTATGCCCCCCACAAGCCTTCTCTACCCCAGTTGTATTAAATACGTAAAAAATGAAATTTCAGCCAGGTGTGGCAGCACATGGTTGTAATTTCAGCTATTTGAAAGGTCAAGGTAGGAGGATCACAAGTTTAAGGCGAGACTGGGCAACTTAGCAGGACCTTGTCTCAAAATAAAAAATTTTTTAAAAACCTGGGGACGTAACATGGTGCAAACGCCTTAGGTTCAATCCCCAATACCACCAAAAAAAATGTAGGCCAAAATTTAAAAAAAAAAATTACAGATAGCACAGTTTATAATGGTGTGATAATTAGAGATATTTTTGATATAAATAATTTATAGGGCACCCAAATATTTCACTCAGAAGTTACAGAAATGTTGCTAAATATATCAGGTACATAAATCTAAACTTAAGTCAGAACTACAGAGCTGATAACACAGAAGGGTTTTCTTCCAACACCTCCTCCCTGACCCTGAGTTTGGGTTTGGCGCTCCACATGGGGCCTCAACAATGCCACTGCCTCATCGCTTGGGGCTTGATTATCAGTTCTCTATGCCCATCCCCAGTTCCCTAAGGACAGGACTCGATGTGCCAGGCCATTGTTCTGCCTAAATCCCAGTGTGTAGCACAATGGGGAATCCTCAGATGTCCGTGGAATCACATTAACCTGTCTCAGAATACTTAAGATAGTACGCCAAACGTAGGTAAACAAAAGGCAGAAGTTTCAAAACACATGTGAAGAAAAGAGCTTCCTAGTGCTTTGTTTTTAAGCGGTACTGCGGTTGAACCCAGGGAACACTAAGCTAATCCCCAGTGCTTTTTAATTTAATTTTATTCACTCATTCATTCATTTATTGGCGGGGCTGAGACAGCTGTTACACAGCTCTAAAGATTATTATTAAAATTAAAACTGCTTACCCACCCCGGGCCAGCGCTGGCGCTTGAGCCTCGGGGGCGGGCGACACCAGGAGGCGAGACAGGCAGCGGCCAGTCTCCACCAGCAGGTCAATCCCAACACCGGAGCGGACCGTGGGTCGCCCAGTACCAGCGTGAAGACCCTTTAACGGGGCCTTGCAGGAGAAGTAGGAGAAGAAGGTGTCGCGGTCCGGCCGGGCGTCGACTAATTCTAACACCAACTTTTCTGTGCTGGAAAGAGGCATAAACTGTGGCGACATTGTGAGCTTTTCTGATATGTGCCACTTTAATGAAGAGTATTTCAAGGAACTAGAAGAGCTGAAGGCAGCTCACATAGAAACTATGGCAAAATTAGAGAAAATGTACCAGAATAAATTAAATTTAAAGGGAGTTCAGCCAGTAACCATCAGGGAAGATGTTCCTAGCAACTCTTCAGTTCTGTATCAGAAAATAACTCCTGCCGCCCTGTCCTGTTAATGACATTACTTGCAAAGCCACACTTAGGCCAGTCTTCCTCCTTGTATACTTCGGAAGAAGTTTGCCCAACCTAGAAAAAGAGCATCCCAGGAAAAACAAAATGATGATGTACACTAAGGAGCTCATCAGCAACGTGTGGACAAGCTTTTGTGTTGAAGATTATATTCAGAGTGAAGATACTGACTTCCAAGTAGCTGAAAAACGAGGAACCAAAAAACGGGTGCCCACAATGACAATACCTGTACCTTTTCAAACGGTGATTAGAGGACAGAAGAAAAAAGAAGAGGTCATGACATCTAAGTCAGGTATCGAAATAGTACATGAACTGCTCAAAAGCGAAGAAGACTCAGAGGGTGAGAGGAAATCCCGAGCCCATCCAGTTCCTGGGAGTGTCCGTCTTCCCCTTCACCATGAGCTAGTTAAGCAAAATAAAGGAGGCGGCGGGCTAGGAAGGAGAAAAACAAAGAAACTCTTTTGGCCTCCCAGAAGCCGTTTACATTCATTGCAAGGAACAG